AAAGCTGTTCACTCCATTTCGCACCAGTCGTGTTGTAGAGACTGAACCTTAATCCCAGTTTCTGTTGCATTACTGCTGACCTTGATAAGCAATATTGAGTAAAAATGGGTATCCATCCACCTGACGGTTTCCCTTCTTCAGATGCACTTAGCAAGTGATGACATCACATGAGAAACAGGAGAAGGAGGATTTTGGAGTTTCTCAAAGGTGGGACTTCATAGGGGATGGCAGGATGGAGGACCAGGACAGAGAGATAGGGATAATCCTGGTAAGAGTCAGGAGTTAAGACCTTCCGCTTCGTCTCACCCCATGAATAAAGGTTGCCTGTGAGAATTGGAGAGATTTATTTCCTCTGCCCTTGGTTTAAATCCTCAGACATCAAAGGGTGCAGACATTAAACAGATACACACTTTACAGCCATGTCTGGGCAAGGTCAGGTAAAGACGTGAGTTAAGACATCAGCCATCAGATGTTGAAATCAGTTAAGGGACAACTGGTCTTATGTGGAACATTTAAGACACTGGACAGTGGATCAGTTCAGTGGGACAATAAATCAGTTGAGCCTGTTCTTGGTCTAAAAGGATAGTGATGGCTCCATGAACCCGAGTTCCACTGTCAGTGGCCCTCCATTTCCCACGGGCACTGCTCTGCAAGTGCTCCGCCTGCCCCTGGGAGGGCAGGGTCAGAATTGCTGGGGCACTTGTGGACAAGACAGACCCTCAGACCTGCACAGACTGTCCTGGCGAACAGCTGGGAACCAGGAGAGGCCGGGGCACAGGCAGCTGAGAACCACGTCTTTAGGTAGTTCACCTGCCCGAGTCATGGAATAAAGATGTGTGTGAATGGGATGGGGGCCCCTCTCAGGGGCCATCACTGAGCCCTATTCCCTTTTACCTTGGGTAGGCATCTGGCCAAACACCAGGGATGAGATCAGGTTGCCCCACACACCAGATGACTGGAATATGAGAAAGAAGATGCCAAAATACTGATTCACCACATCTCTGCCAACTTTTCCCACCTTCTCTGCTTGTGTGTTTCCCATGATGGTGAGGTACGTGCATTGAGTGGACCACAGCGGGGCTGCTCCAAGACCCAGCAGTATGGAGGTGGGAATCAAGGTGTACCTGTAAAATAAAACACAGACAATGCCTCTTCTTCCTCCGTTCTTCCCTGCTTCTGTGGAGAAGGAGGCTCCATGCCTAGTGCATCATAAGCATTATTATGTTGATGGATTCACCATCCATCAGACTCAGATAAATGACTAAATCCAGTGCCCTTTCTGGTTCAGGTTCATTAGCAAGAGAGAAATTCACTGCCAGTGAACTTCTTTGTGTTTGAAAGCAACTACAATGAGCTGAGATTACAAGTAAGGCTGGGTGGCTTTTGAGTATTTCTAACAGCTGTACGTTTAAAATGATTTATTCATTTTTGAAACATTGATTGATTGATTCACCCTCTCCATTGAGGACTCTGTATGAAAACTCTAGGGCAGTAATAAAAAGAAGAATATGAAGTCACCATAATCATTATGTCCTGGATGATAACGGGCCTCCCTCCAAAGAGATGTTTGACAGGTGTGTTCTTGGGAATAAGAGCGAGGGGCTGGTGCTCTTACGGCGTGGTCCCGGAGGATCCCTCTCAATCAGGGAGTAAGCAGGGCTCAGGCTGGGCCCCTGCACCAGCTCCAGCCCTGCCATGTTCACTTTCTGTGATGGGATGAAGGTATGGTGGGACCAATGGGTCCATTGGTCACATTCTGCTAAATCCCCTGAAATTCACCCTGGATATCTTAGGGTCTAGCTCTCATTGCTGGGGCCACAAAAGTGCCCTGGTGCAGGGAGGGAAGCTCAAGGCCCACAACAGACTTGAGGGAAGGTCATGGCTGGGAACTGGTGGGAGGAGATGGGCCCAGCAAAAGGGACAGAGACATCTTGATGAGAAAAAAAATGGGAAGAAAACCTCCACATTATCCTGTCCAGGAGCAGAGAGGAATTTCAGGAAGCAGCACTCATGTTAAAGTGGATGCAGTGGGGTGTCATCGGGCAGCTGAACCTGAGGCCTGACCCAGAAGCAGGGTGGGAGCTGTGCGGGCTGTACCAGCTGGCGTAGAAATTGCCCAGGGAGAAGGCCACGTAGCAGCACATGGAGATGACGATGGTCCACTTGCAGCCAAACTTCTTAATCAGGAGTGGCGGGAGGAACATGGAGGACAGGAGCACCCCGCCATATAGCGTGCTGAGTGCCGTCACCCCCAGGCCTTCCTCACTGTACAGGCTGCTCTGTGGGGGACAAAACCACCCTGGTCAGAGGGGCCGGTGGCCAAGGGGAAAGAGCTCTAGGTCAGCACTAGTTTCCTGAGACCACCAGCAATAGGCTTTCCCTGGCGGGCGGCCCCCTCCCAGCTGACAGGTGCAGTGTGGGGGGAAACCAGCACAGTCCCAACAGAGAGTCAGCTGCTGCTAGAGACTAGGGAGGGGAAACCTGAGGCCCTCGGTGCTGGGGTCACGGTGGGGCAGAAGGCCTCATGCCCTCTGTGGCATCTGCTCCCGTCTATAGAACAGCTTTGCATTCCTCCCCTTTAAGGCTGAGAAATGGGTGTGATTTTCCCCATGGAAGAGATAAAGATGGGGGCATTGTCTCCTTGTAGATTCATATGGACAGCTAGATAGTTAGATGATCTGGAAGCTGGTACTTTAATGCCTGGACTGTTCACTCCTTCCTATCTGGTCCCCCTTCTGACAAGACAATGTCCTGAGGCAAGGTACCCTGCACAGGGCAGGTGCAGCCCCCTGGCACTTCCTCACCGTCATTCTGTCTACTGTGGACCCCAGACCCTTGGGCTGAGTTCTGACTCTGCATAGCACCCACCACTCCCAAGATTCTCTCTTCTTTCTCTCTTCCTTTCCTGCCCCACCCCTCGACGTGCTCTGACCTTCCTTGTCCTCGCTTTTCAAAGGGTTCCCGTTCTTCAAGTGTAGATCAAGCGTCTCCAAGGGCTCCAGGATAACTTCATCCACAGAGACCGCTGCTTTGATCCTATCTAGAATTTCACCTGACCTCTAGCACATACCACCCGGTGACCCGCGACGTCACCCCAGCTGACAACGATCCCCCAACATGGGCAATATTCTATTCTTTCCAAATCTCTCCCGATGCCTTGCCCAAAGCGGGTACATAACTGTATTTGTGGATTATTTGATACTGAAAGTAACCATAGCTAGTCATGAAAATTCTGAAATCTGGTTGGAAGATGGAAATTGAGCACTCTGCTCTGACTTAGGGGTTATCTAGAAATTTCCGCTTATGACTCTGGTTGCTAGGAGTGTGGAGTGAGAGAGTTGGTTCAGCCTGAGCCTTTTGTTTCCTTAATACAAACGTATGAAATTCTCCTGTGTTACTGAGCTTGGCTCCTCATATGTTCATGAGAAGCATACAGCACTTCTGTGTGCTGGAATTTCTCCTCCACACACAGTGCTGTTGCAAATCAGCAAGGTATGTTGGTCACTTATAATGAAATCTGACTGCAAACCACTGAAAAGGAAGATAGATTTCAGTAGCCAAAGTGGGAATCAAATTTTAAAAGCAAATTTCTTTTCTACGTGAATGCCGGTGTTCAAACACCTGCGTCTGCATGTGTTAGAAGAGCAGACCTGCAGAATACTGTATGAGGATGAGTACGTGTGCGTGTGAAATTTGAATTATGCAAGACCTGCTCACATAAGCAAGTAGGACATTCACTTAAGTCACCCAACAAATACATCCTTAAGCACTTACCAGGAGAGGCTCTGTGCACTGCTCTAGCGAAACCAAAGGAAATTACAATAGCCACTGCCCTCCAGGTGTGCATAGTAGACAGGAGCTGATGGGGGTCAGTAACACCAACGAACAGGCCATTGCAACTGGGCCTGAGTCCTGCAAGGGAAGCTAGCCCAGTGCAGTCAGGAAGACCTTCTAGAAGGAGTGAAGACCAAATGAGATCTGGAGGATGAGGGGGTAACCTGAGGAAGGGGGGGAGGTGTGGGAGGCAGGAGATGTGGGGGATGAGTTTGCATGGGCCTCGTCCTGAGCTGAGAGGCAGCAGGGAACATTTAAGTGCTTTGTCCAGAGCATTGAAGCTCTTCTGGGAAGATGAGGCTGGGCAGCCTGCCAGACTACAACATGAGGAGTCCCGGCTCAGTCCTGGGGAGTAGGGTCGGATCTTTAAGCCCGTGGAGAGCCTGGGAAGGTAGGTAAGCTGGAGATTAGCATGCACCGCTGACTTTCATGCACAGAGTTATCCATTGATTGCCTCCTGTGTGTTGAGGACTGTCTTAGTCAGGGGGACATGGTCACGGAGTAGTGACCATCCTTCCGGCATCAGGGACTCACGGGCTTACTGCAGAGCCTGCCACAGCACCAGGGGAGTACACACAAGTGTGCCCCATCCAGACTTTGGTTCCAGGGAGCAGGGAAGGGGGAGAAGGGGGGGACATCCAAGTGGAGACCTGAATGACTAGTAGGAGACCATTAGCCACAGGAGTGAGAGGGCTGCAGTAGGGGGACGCTTGTAGGTGGGCGCCCGGGGCCCAGGGGTGAGTTCGGATCAGGGCTAGGACCCTGGAGACACCTGGGACCATCTGTACCACCCCCTGGAGGCCTGAGAATGAAGCTGAGCAGATGAAAGCCAAAGGAACAGGCAGGTGCCCCCAACATTGTGGGGACACAGCCATGCCTAAGGTCACTTCTGTCCATGTCATTGCATTCTTTTGCTTAGGCCAGTTCTGACTGATGGAGACAGTCCTAGTTAAACCATGTTTACATATTCTGGATCAGCAATTAAGGAAACATGTTGGGTCAGGTCTAGGAAAGAAGACAGAGAAGTGGGCGGGTGGGGGGGATTGCCCCACACCAGAGTTGGAGGTCTGGTTCCCTAACATCTCAGGTCTTCCAAGGAAGAAGGGGCCCCAGCAACGATTGTGGGTGCTTCTACTCCCAGGAGCCCAGGCGGACTGGGGAGGACCTGGGTGTGCGGGGGGCGGGGGGGAGGGGGGAGTCGTCTGCTCTCCCTGGACGGCTGCCCCTATGCCAAATACATTTAAAAAAAAAAAAAAGTAACTATCTGGGGACATATATAGCAAATCTACTCCCAGGCACATGTGACCCCTGCCACAGCTGTTTAGAGAGGCCCGAGGAGGAAAGAGTACCATAGGGGTCAAACTTATAGAGACCACTTTGTCCAAATTCACTGTATTGCTTAAAGAGGCTTAGCATCTATATAATTTAGTGAAACTTGATAAATTCACGTTACTACCCCAACCACAAAGCCAAAGTCCTGAAACCATAGAATTCACCATGATTCATCCTGAGTCTCTATCCAAAGGTGAAGAATGTCTTATCACATCACTAAGTTGACCCACACCCCTTGTCCAAGGGTCAAGCACACGCTCTCTGCTGTGCAATCCTGCTGGCAGGGTGAGGCTGTGCGTTGCAAGCTCACATATAGAAACCACTGTTTGAGAGGATTTGGGGGTGAACTGGTTAATCAGAAATTCTACGTTCCTCGTCTTCTGTGACCATGGGGATTCTTGAAGGCCAAGAGACAGACGTTCACGCACAAGTGTTCTCACTTACCTGCAGACTCTGCAGACCTCCATAGGCTGTAAAGAGAAGCAGAAATCCAAAAGAAACCACAAGGACATTCTTCAGGCTTCTTTCCATCATGCCAATTAAAGGTGTCAACCATCAGTGGACACACAGATTCGTAGTTCCCTTAAAGAAACCAATCGGGGCACAGGAAGAGCAGTCTGTACCAAGAAGTCCCCTTCTCTCTCTCCTCTGTGTGAGAGGCACACAGGTCATCAAGGCCTCTGTGCGTTAACGGACTTGGTTATCACTGACGCCAGGAAGCACCATGGGGTTGTTATTTATTCACCTTCTCTGTGATCTATAATAACCACTTTCTAACAGGGCAAAAGATTAGGACTTTTATCAACTTGTACGTACTTGCAGTTTTCCCCTATTAATTTCTAGATAAAGTCCTTACAGTAAAATAATCATTTTCATACGCACACACACACACACATATATAATATATATATATGTGTATATATATATAATAGACTATCACTCAGGTATGAAAAAGAATTAAATCTTGCCATTTGAAACGACATGGATGGAGCTAGAGAGTATAATGCTAATTGAAATAAGTCAGCTGGAGAAAGACAAATGCCATATAATTTCACTCATACACGGAACTTTACAAGCAAAACAAATGAGCAAAAGGAAAAAGAGAGACAGAAAGAGAGAGAGAGAAACCAAGACACAGCCTTTTAACTATAGAGAACATACTGATGGTGACCAGAGGGGACAAGGGTGGGACGTTGGGTTAAACAAGTGATGAGGATTAAGGAGTACATTTGCGATGAGCACCGGGTGATGTGTAGAAATGTTGAATCACTACATTGTACACCTGAAACTAATATAACACTGTACGTTAACTAACTGGAATTTAAATAAAAACTAACTCACTAAATAAAGATCGCTTGTCTTTTGTTAGAGGGTGACACTTAAAACTGGATTCAAACATGAGATGCTAGTGAGGAAGATCCACATTTGAAACACAATGGCTGCGAGAGGTAGGTGTTTCCATGATCTGTGGCCAACAGGTACAAGGGTGCCGTTAGCAGATACAGAGCAAACACACCCCAATTCCATGAATATTCTAGTAATATGGCAACGCTAATTTTAAAGTAATGTGTTTGATCTATAGTTTGGCAGCTTTAGATTTCAAGATTAAATTTAGATTGTGATGATTATAAATTACCGAGTCGGGCTTTTCAGGAAATTACTCATGATCTGGATCCTATTTTACTCCGAACATAAAGAAAGCAACACATTAATTGTGTCAGATTCCAACAGTTACTTAGGGACATAGTGGGCAGAGGGGAAAGACATTCAAGAGAAAAACAAAGTAGGTAAAATCATATTTCAGCAATTCTGAAGTCACTTCACACGTAGACTAGGTTTGAACAAATAAGCAAAGTGGCGCGCACAGTGGGAGCCGGGCTTCTCCTTGTCAGAGAGGGAAGTCACGGATCATCAGCAGGGGGAGGGCCAGAATGAACCCGTGGTGCTGGAGGGGAGCCGGGGACCCCAGTGGGGACTCATCCTCACTTGAGGTCCCTACGGACAGGCAGATGCAGAAATGCAGATGTGTGCGCATGTGGGTCAGCACGCACACATCCATCTCCCCACTCTGGCCCAGAAGCCTTGTCATCTCAGATGCAGTGAGCATGCCCAGCACGCCAATCTTATTTTCTACCGCTGTTATCCAATCAAATGAACCCAGGGTCCGTGGAGAAACGGGTGATGCTAGTGCTGCCCCAGGAGATGGATCTGGAATAGTTTGTGGCACCGGGAGGTAGGGAAGTACTAAAACGGAAACAGATGGCTGGCAGAAGGCACAAGTACCCCCAGAAAGATCCCAACGGCCAAAGCTAAAACAGTTAGAGCAACAGAACAAGTAACATCGGTTGGACTGTGACCCAAAGGGCATAATACGTACATGAGCCCACAGCAATGAAGACAAATGGTTGAGTAAATGACTAAATAAACTGGGGAGAAGGGACAAACACTCCCGATGAAGGAATTATAGATGATTTTTGTACAGACTCTCCCTCTAGCAGGTGGAGGGTAATTACCTCCCCCTTGATTGTTGGCTAGATGTGGTGACTGGCTCCCCAAAATTGGCTGTGGAAAGGGAAAAGCAGCAACCCTGCCTGGAGAGGTCTGGCAGACACCGGGCTGGCCAGCAATCGAGGTTCACATCATCAGTGATGGATGTGATGAGAAGAGCACTTCACCCTGGGGTCTTCCTACCCAAAGCCCGTAACTCCAGCCTAATCATGAGAAACATCAGACAACCCCAAACTGACCAGTATTCTTCAGGAGTGTCAAAGTCATGAACAACAAGGAAGAGAAACTGTCACAGATCAGACCAAGGACGTGAGGCAACTCAATGCAGTGGGGACCCTGGGTGGGACCCTGGATGGGACTGCGGGGGGGACCATGGGAGGGATCCTGGGTGGGATCCTGGGTGGGACCCTGGGACACACAAAGTGGGAAAACTGGAGAAAGCCAAATAAAGTCTAAAGTTTAGTTGAGTCACGTACCAACACTAATTTCTTAGTTTTGACAAACATACCACTGTTTTGCAAGATATTAGCATTAGGGGAAACTAAGAAAATGGTATATGGGAACTCTCTGTACTGTCTTTGCCATTTTTCTGTAAACTCAAATTATTCCAAAATAAAAGGTTTATTTAAAAAGAAAAGAAGCCTTGCTCCCAGCCTCGTCCTCCCCAGGAAGGCGCGGGTGGGAGTGACCAGAGGCTGACCCCTGTCTGCGCATGAGGGGTGGACTTGGCATCGGGCAGTCTTGTTTGCTTGGAGAGGACGGGTCAGTGAACTGAGCATGTAACACAGGCAGATTTTCTGTGTGTATCAACCCGAGACAGCCCCTCCGGCGGCTACCAGGGCAAGCGAGCATTTTTAGACCAGATACTCTGAATCTCAAACGCAGCGCCTTGGTGTGCAAGGGTTTCTATGGCAATGGAACCCCTCTTTGCCGAACTGTCAGGGCGACTGAACAGACTGGAGCCGGTGGCCCAGATCCGTGGCTCCCAAGGCTGCCGGCGCCCCAGCCCCGTGGGACCGTGGAGCAGCGGTTCCACAGCCCTGCCCCAGGGAGGAGGGCCGGGGTGCGCGGGCATCCGGTCTGCTTCCACGCCAGGTTCTGAACTGAGAGGCAATGGCAGAGAGGAGGGTTAGGTTGCACCGAATCCTATTCGGCCTCATTAATTAGGAAAGGGCGTGGCTCCCCTCACGTGTCCTCCCAGATGAGAGACACACGTTCCGGGAGAATAAGATGACAAATCCAACCCGCTACTTAAAAAAACAAAAATGAGAGAGAGCTGCTCCGGGGGGTGTGGCGGGAGCTACGCAAAATTTGCAGTCTCCGTGAATACAGGGAGCCCGAGGACGCGCCGCGTGGCCGGGAGCCCGGCGCAGTCAGCCCGCAGGGGACTGGGTGATGAAAACATCGCTCCCCGCGAGGATGACTGCGAGCTTCGACTCCAGAAGAAACGCTCAGATAATGAAAAGAACAATTTCCCCCAACAACCGATGTTTCCTTGAAAAAAGTTAACTTTTTGTCGGCACATAAAGACAGAAATAATTCATTTTAAATTAGTACCCTTATTCCAGGGGGTCTTTCTTCAGCCACCCCCTGTGCTCGACTGTCCCAGGTGTTCGCTGGACCTCACCTAACCTCGTCCGCACAATCTCGACAAGGCTCTGCCTGCCAGGCTCTTCTGTCCTTGGCAAGAAAAGGACAGGGAAAACCGTCATCATTCCTGCGTCTCGGGGAGGAAGAAAGCCAAGCATGGTCACAGCAGTCGTCTGAAACATCTAGAGGATTACTGCATGCGGTATTATGTGACCCCGTACCCCAGTCCCCTGCCTGGCTTTTAATGTGTAAATGCTTTAAAATTGCCCGTGAGCTCAGCGGCCTCGGCTAACACCGTGGGAGGCAAGACGGCACACGCATGCCCTCGGGAACGCACGGGTCTCACTCCTGCAGGCGGGGGCTGAAAGAAGTTCTCTCCCGATGCTCCCTGGGGGGCGTGACTTGTCCCTGGTCTCCAGTTCTGGACTGCCCAAAAAGCTAAGGTGCTTCCGACTACCGTTCCTCGTGGAATCGGTACTTCTCTGGACTGACCCTGCGGGTTTCTGCGAACAGTTTCTGTCGCCGCTGCAACCACATTCCATCACGGCTCGGAGTCACACACCCGTCTGTCACCTGCTTCGGGAGCTGACGAAAGCCACCTGTGCCCCCGAGGCAGTAGGGAGGCCGGGAAGCCCGGACACCTGAATCCAGCAGACCGGATTTGTGCAAAGATGTTTATCCAACTGTTCTGTGAGCTGGCCACAACGCGGCTCGTGAGGAAGGAGCCACCGCAGGGACACCGAGGCCACTGTGGCCGTAGGGGCAGCGGCCAGGCCCCAGCCCTCGTGCTGTTTGCGGATGGCCTGACCCACTCTCTAGCCCCCACGTGTTTCCCAGCGCGGGGCTGGCCGTGATGTCACGAGGGGAGGAGGCTCTCTTCGGAGCCAAATCCTGGGGCGCCCGGCACCCCTTCCCGTCCCAGGCTGGAGACGGGCCTGTGGGAAACTCAGGGCTGTCATTCTCGGTCACCTCCTCAGATGGAAGCCCTCGGGCAGCGGCCTTGCATGCGTGCCACCCACACCCCTGCTTCCTGCCCCCCTCCTAGTGGCGGCCCCGACACCCTCAGCTCGTCTCACCATGGAGAGCGCGGCCCACGGCCAACACAGGCGCCCCCAGACACGCCCACCGCTCGGCTGCCGCAGACTCCCACATCAGGACATCAGGCCCCCCGCTCCGGTCGCCGCCGGGGCTCGCCGGCCTCCTGCAGGACCTCTGCTCGAGGCTCCGGCCACTCACTGTGCACCTGGTGACCTGGACGTCCCTCCCGCGGGTGGCCCTCCGTGTGGCGGGAGTGCGCTGTCCGTGCACAGCACCCCATCCAGAAGCCTTAGATCTGGCAGAGCCCAGCCTGGGCGCCCCCGCTGTCAGGCCAGGCCCTCCGAGCCCTGTGCGGCCACCCGCCCCTCCTCCACTGGGTCTCTCTCGCTGCCCAG